TTATAGAAACTTAAAGAACTCTTTAGTGTGTCAAGAAAAGCGGTCTATATTTATTGGCATTTGGCAGGTTGTCTTTGTGTACATGTGCAGGTACCTTTGGTACAGGTTTCATTGAAAAAAACATTCAAGGGGAACAAAAATGTGGTCTTTATAAACAGATGGTCTCTTTAGAGAAAACATCTTTGAAAGATTTTCCAACAATAAAAATTCTTACTGATTTTAATAGTTTTTACAAAATTAGAATTTAATTCATCAATTCGAAGGTACAACTTCAGTGTAATCTTCCCACTGAATCAAGAAAATAATATCTAAACAGTATATTTAAGTATTAATTCCTTTGTTATCATTTTGTAAAATGTTGTTGCTGTTGTTATTGGTATAGGTATTTTTTTGTTTTTGTTGTTGTACAGATACAATACAAATTATGTATGTTTTTCTGTACTATAAAATTCAATCATTCAATAAAAAAATACCATGCCACAATGCGGTCAGCTTTCGTGGTCAAAACATGACCTTGCACTATCAGGTATCAAAAGAACCCTTTTGTTGCAATTAATCCTTGAATAGGGTATTTAAAAGTTCACCACACCTATTGAATTGAGGACATTGAATGACCTCAAAGAACTCTCCCATCCTGAAGTTCAATAACTACACACAATGTAGCAGCTCTATTAAAGCAACTACAATGTACAACCTGTATGTACATGTAGAGGTGTATGGTCACTAGTGTTCATGTACATTTTAGAGCCATAAAGGCACTGTTTGCTTTAAAGGCTGTCTGTACTAGTTTGGCTAGGAGGGATTAGACTACCCAGGGTGATCACTGACAGGTTGCTATCTCATCAACTTAGCTCTAAATTAACATAAGAAAAAGAGGATCATGGGGGACCAATGGTTATCGATTAGGCATTGTTTTCTATATAAAGGAAGCAAGTACAAGTAGCTACAAGTAGTACAGTGGGGCTTTAACGCATTACTTATGGTCTTCTGACTCCAGCAGGAAGTGCTCAAGTGTATTTGCCAAGGGGTCGACAAGTGCAATATAATGCTGCATTGTACTGTACATGTACATGTACATGTTATAACAAAGTGTACATACATGTATGATTTAATTGTTTTTGAGGATTCTGAATTTATTGCCTTTAAAAGTTTAAAGGGTTGTCTGTGGTATCATAATTGACATTTATTCTCAAAACAAAAGGACTTCTACTTGGATGTACATTATAATTTACCTGACTAATTTTTTCACCTGCATGTATAAAATATTTACATGTACATGTACATGTAGGCCAATAACTGTTGTTAAAGAGTGCACAAGAACAACAACAAAATCTTAAATAAACCCAGAAACAGGTGAATTACATGTACAGTAATGAATAGCATTTAGAAGACTACAGTGTACAATACATGAAGTCTACAGATATAGAATGGAGATGATTTTACAACTGCCAGGACTGAATATTATAACAAGCCCCACCTCCTCCTCCAAAACAAAAGAAGCTCCAGATTATGCTAAGTATATCTACAATACACTACCAGGTGAATCACAACGACAAGCTGTGAAGCAAGAAGACAAAACAATTGAGGAAGTGAAATGAAATAGTTCTGCAGAGAACTCATTATCACATGACACTATACAACTTCCTGCATTCTGCTGTTTTCTGCACTGTGTCCAGTGCAGATTGACATCACAAAGTTCAAGCCATTTCTCTACCAAAATACCAGTATTAAACATGATGTACATGTACATTTGTAAGGTTACAGTGTATATATAGTTTGGTATGATACTACCCGGTATACCAAAGTCTGCATTTATTTCAAGTCACTGCTTCAAATTCAGCTTTTGCTTTGACTGATTAAGCTTCAAATAATGACCAAGATGTAATTGGTTGGTAAATTAAGGGCCCTCAAGTTGTTTGCAATATTACAAGTACATGAAATCAGCTGGTAACTCACATTATGTAGCAGTTTGTATGCCCAATGTTGTGCTTAATAATAGGTACAATGTATTATAAGACAGCTTACTAGTTCCCGGCTGCTGAACGTATCACATTCACAATTATTCACAATTGATTACTAAATGATAAATAGTGATTTCTTTTCTTTATATTTGGAGGAAATTGAATTAATGGCTATTTATATGAATATTGAAACTATTCATTTGAGTGAAATCATGAAGCTACATTAATGGGGGATACAAACAAAGATGAACTTGCATTAATTAATTAAAGTCAAGTACCGGTACATGTAAGCACATAGAATTTCACAAAAAATAGCAGGTGTTGTAATATAAAGCAGTTAATATACATATTCAGATTTTATGACAGACAGGTTTTAAGCATGAATAATATACATGTATTGATCACTCTTCAATTTCAAACAGACTGAAGCGATCTAAAGCAGCAGGTGAGACGTGTCTCATGATACGCTTTCTAACAAGTGATCTTTCGGGCAATGCCAATCTCTCTGGACACGGTCTGTTTGATTTTTGATGCGTTTTACAATGTCCCCTACTGTATGCCTGTGTACATTTTTAGTACAGTATTTTGACATACAATAATACATGAAGCAGCAAGTGCAAGCGAACAACTACATGTAAATTAGGCTATTTTGTAAATCATATTCCTTTGCTTTGTAACACAGTATAATCATAAGTATAATAATAGCTACATTGTATGTACATTGCCTACATTTATATTGTGTGCATGTACAATATGTATGTACATGTACATGTACAGGTACATATACATGTATGTATCCCAGGGGAAGCTCAAGGTGCTACAAAGTACTACTGTACATGTATTATTATCCTGGGGCTCCTACATGTAGCTTTAGCCCAGTTGCCCCTATTAAGGCACTAAGCATTGAACAAATAAATTCCTAACAGGCACCATTTACTACACCTGGGTGGAGAGTGGCAAAATCTTGGACTTGAACCATAAACCCTACCATGTGATCACAGTCTAGTTAGGTATAGACTACTAGACAAATCAATGTTAAAATGTATTGTAAATGAATTTATTCAAGGAAAATCATCTCCCAATAATATACACTATTTATAAACAAATAGTTTGGACCAATCTGCTGTAAAATTGATTTTACTTCAACTAATTTCGAAACTGTTAGGTTTTAATTTGAAAGAAAACTAACCTTACTAAAAAACGTTAAAAACATTTTCTATGGAGACCTCAAGTTTATCAATACACAGCCCATTGAAATATAAACTAAGTACATATTTGTACACCATGAATAGACTGTGGTTGAATGAGGCCCAACCTACAAGCTCAAGTGGTCTTTTTAGAATCAGCCCACATACAAATCCGTTGCTCACTAGACTGTGAAGTTCACAGATTGTTATACCCCCTGTAGCACTAAGTGCATGATTTGTCAATAAAATTGTTTTCAACGACTGAGTTGCGGTCTACACTAAAATGGGAAGTGTGGCTTAGGCTAGCACAATAAAATTTTGCAGGTCAGTATATTTACATTTCAGTTTCTCTTTCACTGTATAATAATGATAACAATAATAATACTACTACTACTACTAATAATAATAATAACAATGATAATAATAATAATAATAAATATTAATAAATCTTAATAAATCTACAAATAAATGTGTATGTACACATATAGATCACATTCATACAAGGATATGGGATAACCTTACAAGTAAACAATGGTGACCACCAACAGTGACTTTTTGGATGGGAATCAGAGCAGCGTTTCACAAAACTGTCATACACGTTTCTGACATGAACGGGAGAAAGCATTTGAATGCTACGTGGCTGAAACCCGATTGGAGTATACACCTAAACATAAACCCAATACTGTTGGACACCAATGTACCGCAACCCCTCTCTCTTAGTCTTAGCCTACTGTATGTTAGCTAGTGCCTCTGCAGGTTCCGATTAACAGAATTCAATGGCATTATCATGAAATCCCCCAGCATTCATTTAAATTTAAATGATTATAAAGAGTTTCAAGTCTAAAGAAGAGGAATTGACATCTGATTTTTGAATGTCAGCTACACGGTACAGTACACATGCACCATCACAACTCCATATCCGGACAGTGGATTTCCAACAATAATTTGAATAAGTTAACAAGCATATTACATGTAAATAAAGGACATATTTCTGGTTGATAGCACTATTGCATTTTTATTTTTTCATACATGTAATAATAATAATATTCTGCTTTTATATAGCGCCCAATACATTGATACAACAATGTGTCTAAGCACTTTGCAGATATATTAAAACCTTGGTCATCTGATTCAGGCTTACACGGACACAATGTACATGTATGCACATTCTCCACTCCCTGGGGAGCATTCCTGCCAGTGGCCATTTTACCGGATACCCATTGGGTGAAGAGTGGCAAATGTAGATTAATGGCTTGCCAAAGGACATGATGGCTGCGGCGGGACTCTCACCCCGTACCTTGTGATCTGCAGTCGGGTGACTTATCCACTAGACCACAACACTTTCATAAAATTCAAAGGCAAGTCGTTTTACTTTTGTTAAGTGTTCCGACGCACAGCCCCCAACGTTGACACACATGCACACATTTAAGTAAATTTGTTATTTGGTGAATACAAATTTCTATCCCCTTCTAATTTTTCTGATCAAAACAAAACCCCAACCTTGTCAAGCTGACTCAACAATGTGAACACATTGAAACACATTTTATTTTGGAATCAGATAGATCTACAATGTGTATTCTAGATCTAAGCCTAAATGTATTGCAATGTGATTCCCTAAAAACCTTTGCACAGGCACAGCGCACATCTACATGTACATGTAGCGACTACTTTTACACTTGCTCACACCCACATCAACATGATCAATGATCAATGTACATTCAAGTCTAACTCAAACTAAGGCTTATAAAGTGAAAAGTGAAAAAATATATCGAACAGTCTACGTCTGCCGAGTAAACGTCACACGTTACAGTTCCGTGAAGGGACCTTGATAGTTGATAATGTGTAAATTTACCTTCCCAAGTTCTGGTTCGCCCGCTGTTTCAGACGGTTCATCTGCCGCCTCATAATGTCACTTTTTTTGATCATCTTTCCTGTCGATTCCCAAAACTACAATTCAGAAAAGCAATAGATTCCAAGGTATCAGGTGGCAACCGCCACAGTGATGTTGTTTGCGGCAAAATTAAGTGTTCATAGGGAGCAGCTCATGCAGGTTAAGATTCCAAAACAACGAAAGCTGCCATACAAAATACACGTAAAGTACCATTTCCTCACAAGGTCCAAAATACCATTGCTTTGCATGCATGCAGTGCACTGCTGTATGCGGAAGTGGGCGGCTTCTTATTCGACCAATTTTGTCTGGCGCCATCTGCGTGTATGTATGGCCATTGGGGCAAAATACACCAGTTTACAGTTGTATCAGTGCGCATGAGCAGACAGTTGACCTCGGGTCATTGGCCCCAAAATTGGGGCCAATAACCTCTGACCTCTGGTATTTATGCGTAAATACACCAGTTTACAGTTGTGTGCGCCATTTTAAACAAGGCCAATGACCTAGAGGTCATGTATTTAAGCGTAAATTAAGATTGCGCCCATGCAAATTATGATGATATCACTGCCTGCGCGCTGCGTTGTGTGCGCATATCATCATTTGCATGGGCGCAATCTTAATTTACGCAAAAATACCAGAGGTCAGAGGTTATTGGCCCCAATTTTTGGGCCAATAACCTCTGACCTCTGTCTGCGCATGCGCACTGATACAACTGTAAACTGGTGTATTAAGATTGCGCCCATGCAAATGATGATATGCGCGCACAACGCAGCGCGCAGGCAGTGATATCATCATAATTTGCATGGGCGCAATCTTAATTTACGCATAAATACATGACCTCTAGGTCATTAGCCTTGTTTAAAATGGCGCACACAACTGTAAACTGGTGTATTGTACTTTCATTTACCACGTCGTGTAAAGTGTTTTAAGTACTGTTTACCCGGTGGGGTCACTCAATGTGACTTCCGGACCGCATGACCGTTACCAAAATCGCGGAAAAAGGGGTCAATTTCAAGCAATGACCGCGGACAAAATATTCCTCGAAATAAAGAAAATAGGGGGGCACAGGTGTCCCCGAAATTGATAAATAGGGGTTAGGAAAAGGGAAAAGAGAAAACCGGGAAGGGAAAAGAGAAAACCGGGAAGAAAAATTCTCGGAGCCGAGTCTTGTCCTTGAAATATGGTAAAATAGGGGTAAATTTGCGAAAGCGTCCTTACAATCTTATAAATAGGGGTATTCCAAAGTACGATTTTGTCCTTGTTTTGACGTAAAAAAGGGGATTAAATTTCACAAAATGTCCTTGAAATTGACCGCAAAAGGGGGTTATATGCATTGGTGGTAACGGTCATACGTGTCACTCTTTGCAGGGGAGTGACCCCACCGGGACTGTTTATCTACTGTACAGTTTGTACTTTATAAATAAATTATTTATTCTCATTTTATATTATGTGTACACCTAGATTTTTTATTTGTTATTTCATTGTCCTCTCATACCCCGAAACGGGGTCGAAAAAGTCAATAAAATAAACTCAACTTGACTCATGAGATTTAATCATCATTATTTTACAAAATTATTAAGCGAACGCTAATGCATGCAGATAAATAAAAAAGTAATACAAAGAGAGAGAGAGAGAGATGTTAACAATGTCTAAATATTGTACCAAAGAGTGATTTAGAGCACCATACCGTTTACACAGCTATTGGCGATTCACTGCTTGAACGAGGGGGGGGGGGGGTCACAACATCACTCAGAAAATCCATAAGCAAGCATGCAAGTGGGATAACAAAACGAAAGGGAAAAATAACCCTCCTAAAGAAAAACGAGAAGAAAAAACAGCAGCCTTTGGACGGCCAACAATTGGTACTGGGGTACTGGATGAAATGTTGAGTACTCTACAGAATCTGTATTCTTCAGTTGAAACATAATCTCGAGGTGATTCAGGTATCAACATTCCGTTGACGCTTGAACATTAAAAACATGGTATTTTGAAAATGATATTAATGATGACGAGTCGTCTGATCGACAATTTGTTTTTCCCCTGTTTTTTCCCTTCCCAATCATGCGTGGAAAGTATGACCCAGGCTCATTCAACTAAAAACGTGTGCGTAAAACTCCCCTCCCTCCGTAAAAAAACAAACAAACAAACAGGATCCTGTCCATGTTTTATATATTTGTTGTAATCCCTCATGTTATTTTGTAATGACGGATTTTTTTTTTTTACTGGAGCTTTACTGAAGAGTGCCGAAATTGCTCTGAATATAACTATCCAGCAAATTGCAATTCCTTATTTGTAAATTCTAATCTCGTAACAGCCTTTTGTTTTAGAGAGTAGCTATTCAATCATTTTAACCGAAAATCGTAATTCTCACTTGAATTTAAGTCACCTTTAATATCGGAGACTACCGTAGAACTGTCAACATTCAATCATGAATAGAAAAAAAAATATTTGAATAGATTCTATTTAATTCATATTGTGTAGCCTATTTAATGAATAGGCCTACAGTCAAACCTGTCTTAGGTAGAGGCCATCGCTCTTTAAAGGCCACCTGTCTATATAGTGGTCACATGTAATGTTCCCTTATAGGATGAAATGTGTGGTGTAGAAGTAGACCCTGTCTAGAAAGTCCGCCTGTCTACAGTTACCAGTTTTCTTTTTTCTTTCGGGTGGCCTATATCACTGTATTTGTATAGTTTTAGTTGAAATGCTTAAGACTGAGGCTCTACGACACAATCAACTCTCATGCGAATGGCTCCATGGTAAATTTCCAACAACCCATTGATCATAACGTCAACCCCGGATCCAAATCTATATCCTAACTTTCACCTTAACCCTGTAACCTAAAAACCCAAATTGCAACCCTACCCCCAAACTCTATACCTATAATTATGTAAACCCCAGAGTAAAATATCGCAGGAGCAAAAATGTCCCATCATGGATACGAAAGCCAGGAGGAATGCTGCCATCTAAGTTTAAAGTGTACCAATTTTGCTCCGTATATAAGAAGATTTATGTCACTGTACCTTACTCAAAAATATCAGTTCTACACAGTAAAGAGATATTTAGTTAAGTTACACTCTCAATTTACATGAAATTTACAAATCCGACTTTGGCTCAATTTTATATTAATCTTTCATTTCTTCATTTAATTCTTTTTACCCTTAGTCCATATATCAATACCTTTTTTTTTTCTTTTTCTTGGCTGATTATTATACATTCAAACTCTACATGTTTTGTTTTTCCCAGGTGATTGGTAACTCTTTCAAGTAAATGCACAGTCTTGTCAAAATAACGTTATTATAATATTGACCGTTAGGCCTCTCATGACTTACGCTGATAAAGCGCTTCATGCAAAATGTTTCAAAGCACTTTACAGCTATTATCTGTTTCGGGATAATCATAAGGTTATGAATACACCCTCTTAAAATTTCGCTCTTAAGTTTTGAAAGGCCACATGTACACAATGTTCATTTTGTTTGTTCGTTTTTTGTTTGAGATTTTGATATCCATCATTGACAAAAATATTGCGTGATCTCCTAGTCGTTTAAAATTGTTTATCACGATGAAGGTATTTACATATCGATGAAAACAAAGATAATTTATGCACTATTTAAAATTAATATTTTAAATAATTCTTCTAGACATAGGTTGTTTTTTTAACAGTTTGCGTGGCTAATCTGAAAATAGAGAAATAATAATTGATCGGATCATAATTTATTAGGGCAATCCGTTGTTTATACCATGTTTGTTTCTATTCACACATAATACTTAATGTGAAAATACAAAGCCACCAATCCCCCCCCCCTTTTTTTTTGTTTAAATGCCGCCCGTTACACGGGATTCAAGATTTAATCCATGTGTAATTACATCTTCAATATCTCGGGTGTTTACCGTGGTTAAAAATTATCAGTTCAACACAGGGGTGTTTATAAATCAGTCAAACACACCGCCAAATCGATTACCCACCGACTCTGAACCGACTGATGTCAGGCCATTTGTGGCGATGTTATCTTTGGTGTCGATCTGGTGTCGGTCTGGTGTCGGTTTCGTTGGTTTGCGTGAGGTATAATTAATCTGTTTCCCCAAACTCCATCGATTTATCTGTTTATTGTAACCCCAAACACCCTATTTCCGGTTAGGTTTTTATAACTTTTAGATTTTCGCGTTTCTCGAAATTAACGATGGTGGGCCTGTAAACATTTAACATATTTTGAAGGCTTCCATGGTGCATGATGATAGATTTGAGCGAGGTTTGCGGATTCTTTCGACAGGGTTAGTTGGTCCTGAAAAAGGCCCACTCATGCTCTGCCTCGACGTCGAGATTTAATTCAGGGCTAGCTTACTTGTCGAAAGAATACGTGATGCAACCACATACCTCACTCAAAACACGTAACCTCTTCCTTTGTATATCATTGCAGAAGAGGCATGCATGCATCAACACCTTACAAATTATAGCTTTAGACTAGTCTTATATTATTGAAAATTATATTATATCAAAATGGGCTCCTTTTCTCAATTCACTAGACGAAACATAGTCAAGCAAATATGAACAGCACCTATTTGACAATACTTTCCATGGACGTTGCTTTTTCTTTGGATTAGATTTTGTTATGGGATATATTGTGTTCATGTAAGTGCGGCACAAGAAATAACGTTAACATTTGTGTGCTAATATTAAACGGGTGTGGGTTACCAGCCTGGCAAGCAGAGTTTGGGGTTGAATATAAGGATCACCGAAAGGATCAAACTAAGTAAGTCCTCTAGAGAATTAATACTGAATTATTTTTGGAAAATGTTTATTGAGGTGAATTTGATTGAAACACAGATGTTGGAGTAGGCCTGTTATATACTCACATAAACATAATTAGGTTCATCTGTATCAACCTGCATGAGCCTTGTTATATTATCCAAAGGTGTTATATTATCCAAAGGTGCTATCTTCACTATAATAGTTAGAAAACCAGTGGTCCCCCCTTTCTCTATTTTTCTTGGCGAGTCACTCTCTTTAAAAAATAAAAAATAAATCATTATGTACCCAGGGCTGCAAGCACATTAAGACTCACGATTGCGATGTAGTCCTCCTATATATCATGTATATCTTATTCGTATGATTGAAGAAACATATTAAGAAAGTCGATTGTGTAATGCATTACTGCTGGAAGACTTGGAACGCAACTCGTCCCCTCGACAGGGAGGTTACCACAACAAAAATAACATTATAAATGTCAAGTTGTTTTGTTATACCGTGCGAGTCCAAAAAAAAATTATA